TGAGCTTTTTTGCCAACAAAACTGACCTAGCTCATGAATTTATTGTTATCCAATAAATTCTGATACAAGCATGTCTATGTTCCTGACATAGATCACTCACAACAAACCCCCACTCCCAGCTCATGAGGCTCCACTTACCTCATGTAAGTGAAGACTCCATGTGACAAGCCAGAGTGGTGACACTTGGCCCCAATCTGCCCCCAGACCCCAGCCACCCTCCTTGGCCTGCTCTGCACCAGAACATTCTCCCCTTTGCTCAGGCATCCCGTCCCTCTGCTGAGGACACCCACCCTGCCAGGACCAAATGATGCACATTGTGATACCTGTTCTTCTGGATTCCTAAATTCAATCTCTGTTCTGCCTTTCTCTTTTGAGAAAGACCATCCTAGCCATGGGACCGCTTGGTCCCCAGCTTGTGTATGCACACGTGTGTGTGTGTGTGTGTGTGTGTGTGTGTTACATGCACTGGGAACAGAGGGAGTTTCCAGGGAACACACCTGAGTCAAGCTCCAGGGCAGGGAGAGGAGCTCATGGCAAGGCCCCTCTTCCATTCCCAGGCTGCCCACCCTTTCTCCCTTCACTTTATTGCCTCCTTTGCTTTCTCTCCCCAGCTGTTTTTTCCATCTTCCTAGCTTCCTGGCACGCTCAAAGCACATTTCTCAATTGTGTTTGAACACAAGAGGTTCACCTCCGCTGCAGCCTCCAGGATGGTATGCGTGGTTCCCCATCAGGGCCAGGTGGCTGCCCACTCTTCCCCATGAGCCTGGGAGTCATCTACACCCTTGTTCTTTCTCCACACGCTCAAATGTCACACCAAAGGATTTGGACTGCACAGTCCACACCAATGAGATCCACCTGGCAGCCTGGCTGAGATGGTGGGGAGGAGAGAGGCAGGGAACCAAGCCACTGGCCACTCCATCAGGAGGGGCAAATTCCAGAGGCCTGAGCAGGTCCCAGGCTGGCAGTGATCTCAGTTCACAGGCGGGGAGGAGTGTGCGGTATGAGGAGAGCCCCCTTCCAGGACTGGTCACGCCTCTGTGCTTTGCACACACCTCTTTCCTCTGCAGCTCCAACCTTGGGAGCCACCAGGAACTCAGGCTCCAGTCCCTCTCCTGGCAGAGACAGGCTTCCAGGGACACTGTCCAAAACTGAGCCAAGGAGCCCCAGGCCCTCTGCCACCCTCTGCTCAACCTACCATCAGAATCCTTACGTTCCCCTCCTGTGAATGCATTTCAAGTTGTTACACACTGACTTCTGAGATTTGGCTAGTCATCATTCATTTGCATGAATAACATTGAGTCTAACTTCCTTTACACCATAAGCCAGTTAAACCCACCTCCACAGTGCCCGCCCTGGTGTTTGGCTTTCCCCTCTGGAAGGAAGATCCACCTCTCCCTTACATCCATGGCTCATTCACGACTGAGCCAGCCACTCCATAATTGCTTATTCAAACAGACAAGCCCAATATGAAAATGAGGATGTACAAAGTCGATGACACAGACAGGGCATGCACCTGCACAGGGGTTGCCAGTGGTTTCCTCAGAGAGCGGCCCCACACAGAAGGCCTGGCTCAATTCACAAGGTCTGATGCTGCTTGCTTTTCACATGTGCAAATCAAGGCAGAGATATTACTGAGTGCTAGCTGTGTGCGTTCCGAGGCAGTCACTCCTACCTGTCTTGGCCCTATCACTGTGTACATGGGGCCCACCGGCTCTCACAGAAGGTCAGATTTGCCCTGGGACCCAACACGTGATTCTTTGGACCTTGACTATAAGCTTCTCTTTAAGCTGGAGCAGTTTCTGGAGAGGGATGCGGGAAACAATGTGGCTTGGGCATTGATTGCCACCCAGGTCAGAGGGAAGATTTCATTCTTTGAGTTCAGAAATTCTCCTGGATTTGCCCTTGATTCCAGAAACCAGCTGAAGCAGTCAGGGTTTCTGCCAAGCGGCTCAGCTGCTCAGTGACTCCAGGCACCATGCATGGTACAGCTTGAATGGCCAGCCCAGGGCTGGTTTTCAGCCAGGTTCCTGTCACTTATACAGACCTACAGTAGGTGCCGAAGGATTCCATTAGGTGAGAGGGAATCAGGCCAGCAGCACATCTGAGCAGTGCTGTGACCAAGCTATGAATGCTTCCTGTTTGTCTTAACCTTCCTGGAAAGGACAGGGACCTGGGCCTTCCAGGAGCTGGCCAAGTCATCACTTATCCCCTCCCCACTAAATGTCACAACCCCAGAAAGAACTCTCTCTGCCTACCATTGCCAGGGAGACCCCCTCCCAGAAATCCTTCCGCAGGCAGAGAGAAATCTGACTGCTCTGACACCAATCGCCTCACGAAGACTCGGAGCTAGTCCGTGAGGCTGCGTCCAGCCAAGAGTGAGAAGAACCAGCATGCCGGGGAGAAGTCGTTCTTTACACTCCTTCCAGACCCCGGGTCACAGTTCTGGTTGCACAAAACCTCCTGAGGAGCTTTTAAAGCTGCAAAACCCAAAGTCTGGGCCAGACCTCTGTATCTGCAAAGGGACCCAGACCAGAACTATCTTTGAGAAACCCCAGGCAAGTCTATCCCCAGACAGAGCAGTGACCCACTGCTGAGCAAGTCACAAACCTGTGCCACTTAAAGGAGAACGGAACCCTGGAGGACAGGCCACTGCTCTCATGGTGGACTTCATTTCAAGGCCCTACCCTGGAATGTCATTCCATTCACTAGTTGTCAATCACAGGGGGGATGACTGGTGACAAGATAGGGCAGCCTGACTGTATTGGGCTCGATAGTGTCCCTCTCCCAAATTCATGCCCAGTCAGGACCTGTGAACACAACCCTATTTGGAAGTAGGGTCTTCGCTAATGTAATCAAGTCAAATGAAATCATATTGGATTAGGGCGGACTGTTAAATCCAATGTCTGGTATCATAAATCCAATGTCTGGTATCATAAGAAGAGGAATATTTAGACTCAGACAGACAGACAGACAGACAGACACACACACACACACACACACACAGGGAAGAGGACCATGTGAAGACAGAACAGAGCTGGGAGGGATGTGTCTACACCCTAAGAATACTGAGGACTGCCAGGAGCCCCCAGAGGCTGGGACACACGTCTAGCAGGCCTCCAGAAGGAACCAGTCCTGCTCACATCTGGATTTCAGACTTGTGGCCTCCTGACTGTGAGATAATAAATTCCTGTTGTTTTAGGCCACTGGGTTGTGGACATTTGTTACAATGGCCACAGGACACAGACACACCGGGCTTTGCAGTGCAGCCCTGGCCTCTGAACTGGGACGGGGATCAAGTTTTGCCTGTAGGGTGATTTTGGAACAATTTCTGGACACCAGGGCCAGGAAATCTAGGCGGCAGAGGGTGACATGCAGGGCAGCAAGGGGCCTGGAGACATTTGTGGAGCCCCGGACCTCTGCTAGCCTTGATCCAAACCAGACCAGAGCAGCTCCTTGCTCAGCACTGTCTCAGCTTTTGACTAGGCAAGGACATAAGTGGCTGCCTGGAAATTCTCTCCTTCCAGGTGGGAGCTTGGGGTGGTCCCACACCCAGCCCCTTGCCACTGGGCTCCTATGAACCAAACCCCAAGTCTTTGCTGGTCAGAGCCTGGCTTTCGGTCAGCACAGGAGTCGTGATAGACAGGCCTGTACTCTGGAGAATACACCAGAGGAAGGCCACTCAATCCTGGTTCCCCATTGGGAGGGGTTTCTTCTTTGCATGTAAATTTTGCTAAACATCAAAGCCAAATTGAACAAAAGACTTCATTTCCCCCCCAAATCAGTTTTGTGGAAACTACCCTATAAACACTCACCCTGCCCTAGGTGCAGGTAGCCTGAGCCATGTGACACCACAGATAAGAGCACTGAAAACTCCCTACAGGACTAACTGGGGTGGGGCAGGGGTGTGGGAGGGGGCGTCCAGAGGGCATCGCTGACAACAGGAGAAGCAAGGGAGCCCTGGCTTTGATCTAGGCAGGTGAGGAGGCCCAGCCTGCCACATCAGGTACAGGATGCTCACCTGATTACAGGGAGGTCAGAGAGGGGCAAAGGGCCCACCTGCTGGGCAATGGAACTTCCCCAGAGCCAGGGCTGGAGAGGCCTGCAAGGATCAGCCCCAGTGGATCCCCCATTCCGGCCTTGGCTCTCCCACTCCTTGGTGGATCAGACCACATAGCTGTACCCCTTCTTCCTCGATAGTCCCAGCCATTGGGGCAAGGCGTCCTGAGCATAACGGATACTTGCTGGGCAATCTAAGTCCCCAATCCCACTTGTCCCCTCCAGTCACCAAACCTCCAGTTTTTGTGGCCATCCTGGAAAAAGTCACCAGCAGCAAATACTTGGGATCCTGGTCTCTGCCTGGCTCTGTTAGTGGGGCCTCCTGGGCAGGGCACCCAGCAAGAAGCCAATTCTACAGGCCTTTCTTCCCTGTCCCCCTGAGCCTATGGACCCTGGTTGTGTGTGTTTGCGCCCGCGCGTGGTGGGGGAGGGGGGGCTTGTATCCTGCTCCACTTAATTCGTGAACCCCTAAATGACTCACAGAGAAGCCCTTCTCCACCCAGCCCTGAGCACAGAGAAGCCCAGCTCCCATCTCACCTGTGGAAGTTTCTCACCAGGGTCCCCAGTTCTCCAGGCCCCCCAACCCCCACTCCAGCCATGTCCCCCACTCCCCCGCGCCCCCCACCCCCCACCGCTGGCATCCCAGGGCGGCCGCCTGCCAAACCCCAGCCATTCGCTGGCTCCCTTTTCTGGGGCTGGAGCTGCTGCGGAATTTCGGTGGAATTTTGAGGTCGCCAAGCATCTCAGCAAAGAGAGGGAAAGAAAGGGAGAGAAAAAGAAAGTAGGCTTGGGGCGTCCACTTGCAGGATTCCAGAGCCAGACCAGAGGCCCGGGAGGCGGGCGCCGTGCCGGATCCCCCCCGGCCAGCAGCGCAGCCCCGAGGTCGCCGGGGAGGGCGGGGAGATGGGCCGCGCGGGGCGCGGGGCGCGGGGCGCGCTGCTTACCTACGTCTGCGTTGCAAAACGCCTGTTGCGGGTGCACCGGGGAACAGCTGCAGGCGTCGGCCGGGCGCAGCAGTGTCGCCAGCAGCAGGAGGCCGAGCGCGAGCCGCAGGCTGCGGGCCGCGGCGCCCATGGCGCGCTGGGGGCTCGGCTGGGCTGGGCCGCTGCCGCCTGCTGTCCGGCTCCTGTCGCGGCGGGTTGGGGGCCGGGCACACGGTCCTCACCTGCGCCGCTCACCCGCGCAAACTTTCTCTGCTCTTTGTCTCGGGGTTGGCGAGGAGAGGGCGCAGGGCAGTTGACCCGGCGGAAAAGAAAGCGGGTGGGGGGCGGCGGCGGGCGGGCGGGCGAGCGAGCGCAGCCCGGCTCGGCTCCTCGACTGCCTTCTATGGATGTGTTTGCTGCGGGCTCGGGCCGAGCCGGCGTTTTATTGCGCTCCGAGGATCCTCTGCTCCTCCTCCCGGTGGCTGGCGGCCAGTGCAGGCCGGGCGGGCGCTCCAGCACCCCGCCTCCGCGCCTCCCGCGCCTCCCGCGCCTCCCGCGCCTCCCAGCCCTCCCCAGAACCCGGCTTTTGTTGTGCCCAGCCTGGCACGGCTGCGGGCTTCCCGCACCACCTGGCGCGGAGGGCCCTGGCCAGGCGCCCTGCGCACCTGGCTTCCGCCGGGGCCGCACCCGCGCCGGGCCGCGCGCAACACGGCCCGCTGAGCGGTGGGCTGCGCCCGGTGGGCCCTGACGCAGCGCGCGTGGGCCTCATGGCCTGTCGCTTAAGGGCACCAGGCCGCCCAGCCTGGCTCTGAGGTCTACACTGCTCGATCTCTTTCCTTCAGGGTAGATTCTAGCCACTGTGGCTTCCCTGAAACACTGCGGATTCCTTTTTCCGAATGGAGGCCTTAGAATTTTAATTGCGCTTGGTCATTTAAAAGGGGTTTGGGATGCGGCTGCAGTGGACAAAACAGGATTTTCTGGCCATATTTTAGGCCAGTCAACAAGGAAGGAGGAGGGAGGAGGAGCCGCTAGGATTGTGTGAGCCGAATTCACTCAGAGTGCCCGCTCTTTGCCCACAGATGTGGCCGCTGAAGGACTTTTCCCAAAACAGGTCCGTGTTCCAGGAAAGCCAAAGAAACTTACAGGTGCCTATGGCACCCATGTGTGGTGGTGATTGGTGGTGTGGCCCTGCCTGCCTGCAGGTGAACCTGCTCTGCACGTGGTGGGACTTCACTCTTGCTTCCAGGGTATTTGCAGTCCAAGGAAAAATGACAGGGTCAAAGAATATCTGCCTGCTAGACCGCGCAGTGAGGACCCTAGGTGGGAAACGGTGGGAAATACGAAAGAATAGAAAAACAGCTCCTTTCTGCTTAAGTGTGCTTTGAAACAGACAATGGTGGAGAACAGTGAAATAGGCAGAGCACTTATTTTTAGCATCCTGACAAATCCACAGTCACTTTTCAGCTTTTGTGAACCTAAAATAGAGTTGTGTCCTTGGTGAAATGATGTTTGATGCTGACCTTTGTAAGTGCAGTTGCCTGGGAAAATGACGAGCCGGCTGCCTGTAAACTCATTTTCTTTATTCTTTTTGGTTGCAAGTGGGAATAAAAAATGCTGTTGAACTCCACAGAGCCTAGAACCAGTCTGTCAGTTTCTAGAAGAAACAGGACACCCAGGAGGCTGCCCCTTAGTCTTTTAAGTAGGATATGTACATGTTAGGGGGTAAATACCTTAGAGGTGGGGGCAGATTCAGGGTGCACAGGGAGGGAGAGAAGACTGGGCTGCAGCTGACAGGACAAGTCACCTCCAGGTGACTCCTGCACCGCACAGCCCCTCACCAGCACCACAGTTTCCTTGCCCTAAGTAGTCCCCATCAGCACACCAAAAGGCTGGACTTTCTCCCAGCAAAAATAAATTAATAAATTTTTAAAAAATGTTTCTTGACCCCAATGTTGCTACAAGACAATCCCCATTATCTGTGGTTGTCTCTGGGCATCTGGGAGGCAAGGTCTCCCTCTCTCCTGGCCTGTCCTCCCTCCTGCATCTCCTCCATCAACAAACACTTGTTTGAGTATCCACTGTAGCCTGAGCCCTGCCCTGAGAACAGGACACTGCAAAGTCTACAGATCAGACAAAAGTCCCTGGCCCAGCAGGTGGGAAGACCTTAAGCCCTGAGGCTGGACTGTGCTGGCCTGGATGGATGCCAGTGATGTGACCAAGGAGGGTGAGGGAACAGGGTGGAGGCCTGAGATGGGTCATCGGGCTGGGAGGACAGACAGGAATGGGGAGAGTGTACATTTTCTTCCAAAGAAGCCGGGAGTGGCAGGACACAATGCATCTTCTGGAAGGTCAGACAGGCTGGGGCAGGAGCCCATGAACTGACAGGTCACAAAGACTCAGTCTCACGCCCTTGAGTTGACCTTCTCAAATCTCCTCATCCACAAAATGATGATTTAAAAAAAACCTTCCCAGTGGATTTCTGGGAATGATGACCTAGGGCTATGAAGTCAGGTGGTCATGCATCAGGAGGCAGCTAAGGTCCAGGAAGGGAGGAAGCAACTCTGCAGCCCAGGCCAACCCTCCTGCTGCCCAGTGCCCATGGGTCCCCAACTCTGGGCCCACCTGCAGTCCCTGATCACCCTCTGTCCTCTCCTGCAGAATTCTCCCATCCCTGGCCAAAGAGACCAAGGCTTCAGACCAGGAAGCTGCTGGAGACAGGATGCAGCTTCAGACCTGCTGCTAGAATTCTCATGCTCCCTACCCTGTGGCTGGAGGATTCAACAATGCATCCTTCCATAGGCAAAGGGCTGCCACCACAAGGAGGGGAGGACGGGGTCAGGATGCCCCATTCCTCATGCAAGAGAGAGTGAGGTAGGAGGAACCCAGGCTGGTCACTGCCTGTTGCCTTTGCTCCTAACCAGCTGCCTCCCCCACTCCTCTTGATATTGGTGGGCTGGCCAATGGGAGCCTTATCAGAGACCCCCATCCTGCTTTGACCTGCTAGACTGGCTTGTATCTGCCCAGAGCAGAGGCTCTTGGGGACTCTCCACACACAGGAGGGAGCAGTGCCTGCCAGGCCAGCAAATAGGAGGTTTGTGGAAGGTGCTTCTAGGCCCCCAGATCAAATCCCCCAGAGCCACCACACCCACCTTGCACCTTACTCCCTCAAAGAGACTCTCAGCATGGAGCCTGGAGCTATGAGCTTGTCCCTCCCATGCATGAGCACAGCATCAAACACATCCTGGATAGACCAGGTGAACACGGTCCAGGCCAGGAAGTGCCAGGCACTTCCTTTGGGCTCCTCCCAAGTAAACAGAGTCAGGGTGCTCCCCAGGCCTCCCACATCCTGAGGTGGGCAGGAGCCCTGCCGTGCCCATGCACATCCACCCAGCAGAAGGGGAGCTGTGCTTCTTGTATTGTGTTCTCCCCCTCCCCACCCCACCCGGTCTGGATCAGCTCCATCTCCCCTGAGTGTGGATCGTTCTTTCCCTGGAGACAGCTTGAGTGGAGCGGAAGCCCCCACACTCTTTCCGGCAGGTTCCTGGAGAACCAAATGCTCTCGTCAAGAACGGGCATCAAAACTGGCCCCACACGCCAAGGAGGTGAACACTGTGCCAACAGTCCAGAGCTGTGGAAGCGAAGGGCATCTTGGGAAGGTTGGGGGGAGCTGTAGGGGAAGGTGGGAATGTGTCCATGGTTCTGGCTCTCTGGGAGGTTCTGGGAGGTCCGTGTAACATGGAACTCCCCTCAACACCGTGATGAGACTCCTGGTCCAAGTGGATATCAGAGTCTTGACCATGATAGACAGGAGGTAACTGTCCCCAGTGTCCCCTGGTGGGCTGTTTACTAAGGATGACTAGACTATGAGCCAATAGTGACTGGCGCAGCCTGGAGCTGCAGAAGGGGTCCTCTGTCTGCTCCAGGAGTAGACAAAGCTAAGTTCAGATGAGCTGCAGCCCTATGGGGGATAGTTTGACAGGCAGAGCAATTATCTGCGATACACTGGGAAAACCTTGGCCACAGCCCGTCAGGTGTCCAGTTTAAATGGTTTCCCTTCTGGTTTTCTTCTGCCACAGTTTCTGCCATTTCTTCTGCTGAATTTTATGCCATCTTGCAGGGCATCTTTAAGAAGGACTTGGCATCTCGGGCACTCCTGTCTCCGGCTCCCTTACCCTCCTTGTCCTCCCCAGGCCGTCCTCCCTTGGACCCAAGGCCATTGTGAGCCAGGGCACGCACCTTAGCCAGCCTGCCTGAATGTCAGCCCCATGCCACCTTGTGTGGGGTGTGACCGTCCTAGTCCCCAGCAGCAGCCCTGATACCACCCACGGTGTCATAATCAAGTCCCCAACGACCCCAGACAGGGAAGAAGAGAGGAACGGAAGTCATCCTGTGAAGAACAGGAAGCCCTTTGATGTCTGGCTCTAAAGGATTGCCACATCTGAACTGTGAGGGACAGGCGTCCCTGCCCAAAGCACACAAACTCCTCTTTTCCTGCTAATGCTGTGACACAGTCCCCTGGGTGGGACATCTATGTGGCTTCGTTTTACAGGACCCTGCAGTGGCCATGCCCCTTCTTCCTGCAGCCACCTTTGCTTCCTCTGACTCAGGAGGCTTTCATTCTGCCAGGGTGACCCCCGCAGGGCCCCTCACTGTCCTTCCAGGCTCCTGCAGAATAGGCTCTCAGGAGCCCACAGCCTGGACTCTGCCACTTTCTCTGCTTCCACCTTTGTCACCTGTCTGCCTCCTGGGCTCCACCCGCACTGGGCTCCAGGGGACCTGCTTTTGGACCAGTTCTAGGAAGCACACAGTAACATGAGAGACGCTGGGGGAAGATGCTCGGCTGGCTGCTCCCCATCTCCTCATGCCTGGTCATGTGGTCACATGCTTCTTTTCACGGGCGGGTTGGGGACCAGGGCCAGCAAACAGACGTGAGAACCCAGTGCCCCTCCACCCCAGCTTTCTCAGGAAGCAGGCTCAGCTGGAGGGAGGGGACCCAGGGAGCTGTCTGCCCCACTCAGCAGGGGTTGCTCAAGGCTCACTGCTCACTGGTTTCAGGTTCCCAGGCCTGCAAGCCTGGCTGACGGCTCAGGTTTCCCGCCACCATCCTCCGCTTCCTTTGGTGTTGGGGGTGCCGGCCTGTGGCCATGATGTCATCGACTAATCCAAACAGAAAGGAGGCTGGGCTCTGCTGCAGGCTGCCGGCCAGTGCTGAGTGCAGCAGTAAATTTCATCACAAGGCTGTGATTAGGTCTGTGCCCAAGAACTCCTGCTCCCCTCTCCACAGCCCTACTTTCCTTTCCATGTTCCTGTCTGCCTGCCTTCCTCCCTCCTCCTCTCCCTCCACTCCTTCTCCCTTCTCTGGGGATGCTTTGGGCTCCTGGTGACGTCAGTCCTGTAGCCGGCAGGGCCATCCAT